CTCCTCCTCCTCCTCCTCCTCCTCCTCCTCCTCCTAAACTAAACACACATCGGGGGCAACGAAAACCGGTCTCAAGGCTCTGGACGCCGAATTCCGAGTTCCAGGCCGAAAAACCTCAAACAAAATTGTGTGCCCCTGTGACGTCGGGAACGAGGTCGGCGCGCGGCCGCGGGGGCCTGGCGGCGCCCCGCTCCGCAGGTGCGGCGACGGGGTCCGATACAGCCAGGGGGGCCCGCGACGCGCGACCGACGCTGACTGCATCCATGCACCGCGGATTCCATCCTCCCTCGGGCTGTTAGACGGAGCCGCCAGGGCCAGAACCCGCCGAACAGCCTGGGGGTGTGGGGGACCCGCAGTGCCTCACGTCCGACTGCGGGCTCTCCTTCGGAGCGACCCCAGTCGGGCAAACCCTGCTCTCCAGGGCCCTCAGAAGTTCACTTTCACGCTCGCTGCCAGTCGCAGCGACCATCGCGGTCTCACTAGCCGCCTGCTGTCGACGGGCCTTCAGCTCGGCTTCATGCTCTGGCCCATCTCCATCTGCAGATCGCGCTCGAGCCTGGACCTGCCCGTCGGCACGCACCGCCCCCTCGGCCTCCAGCATGGCAAGGAGCAGCGTCCGCACGTCCCTGACGAGAGTCGACGCCAGCGGCATGTCGGCCAGGCGCCGCGTCCCCTCCACGTCGCTCTCCCTGACCGCCTCCTCGTTCGCCTTCTTCTTTCCCTCGCCGTGTTTGCCCAGCCACTTGGGCGGTAGCTGCACGTGCGAGCTGATGGCCATCGTCATCTGCTCCTGCTCGTCGAACCTCGCGCGCTTGGACTTGCGCCCCTTGAAGATCTCGCCCTTGATCGCTGGGTTCTCCTCCAGCGCCGTGTTCATGAGTGACCGCGCACCCTGCGCCAGCCTGACCTGCTGCCCTTTGCTCACGTCTGCGTTGGCCAGCTTGTTGATCGCTCTCTTCTCGATCTGCTCGAGCGGGCTGCCGAGCTCCTTCTGAGTGAGCGTCTTGGACTCCACCGCATCGTTGCACTCCTTACCGTTCGTCTCCGCAGCCTCGACCTTGACGCTGTTCACTGGCTCCAGGCGGAAGTCGAGGACTGCCCACTCCAGGCTGCGCTGCCCCTGCACCGCGTTCAGCACCCCCTGCAGCCTGGTGACCATCGCGTCGGAGACCCCGCCGAGACAGGCGGCGGCGAGACCCGTGCCGCAATCGGTCGCGAGCTTCTTCTTCTTTATGCCGCCCTCCTGGTCCCAGTAGGTCGTCAGCACGCGCATGCCGCCCCCAACTCCTTCCATGGTCATCTCCTGCTTCCACTCCTCAGCGCCCAGCATGTAGTTGGCCTCGTCCCTCAGCTCTTCGATCCGCTCGTAGTAAGTGTAGTCCTGATGGGCCTTGCAACGATCCTTGCACTCGCATGTGAGACGCCGTAGCCGCGCTTCTGCACCCCTCTCGATGCGCTCGAGGTAGTGGTGGCCTGCGTCATCCCGTCGAGCCTGCATCTCTGCGAGTTCATGTGCCACGTGCGCCAGAGCTCGCAGAACCTGAACCCCCTCTTCCACCAGATGCTCGTGCTCATTGTCCAGCGTCCTCGTGGGTGGGAAGACCGAGATCTTGGTGTCGCGTATCCGGTTCCCCTCGGCATCAGCGGCGCTCAGATCGTTCTCAGCCTTCTCGCCTAGCTCGTGCCTCCACTCGCCCTTCGTCAAGCGCATCATGAGGGAGTCCCGATCCGCCATGGCGCCCCGCAGCGGCAAGTAACTCAGCTCGTAAGTGATGTGGGCCTCAGTCAGGTACCGATCGCGAAGCTCATCCGTCGGTAAGAGCGTGCGCCTCAGGTAGTGGTGCATCCTGATCTTCGGCACTATCCCCATAGCCGTGGGCGGAACAACCACCTGATCCCTCCCGCTGGTCGGCTCCGACCCGTAGTAGCTGTCGAGCGGAAGGAGGTGCGTGTTGGCCGCGGTAAAGTAGTATATAGCCGCCCACCATCGCATTTGTCTTGATCGCCTATGCCGTCCATGGCGTCCAGCCACCTCGTCTATGTCATTGAAATCCAGCTGATTGTCCCCAGCGATCACCTCCAGGTCCTTGTTGCCCGCCTCCGCCTCCTCGTCGTTGATCCAATCTGAGATGCGCTGCATGGCCCCCGTACGCTCCTCCTGGGTGCCATACGGCGTGAGGTAGACCCCTACGCCCAGCATCGGGGTCCGCGCCATCGCCAGCTTGAGACCTCCCGCCCGATCAGTGATGCCAATCTTCGGCGGAGAGCTGAGTACCTGGCGGACATGGTTGCTGGCGCTCCTACCGATCATGATCGTGATACCGCAACTCTTGTCAGTGAGCCGTCCACTGCGCCAGCTCCCGCCGAGAGCCACGTGCCTCATCGTGCTGGTGGCCGTGACGGGAATCGCGTCTCTCTGGCGCTGATGAGTGCCAGGCCGCGCCACCACGTCGAAATTCTGCAGCGCCTCGCGCGCGAGAGCCACCCGCCAGGTCTGCAAGCTCTGCGGGTTGTAGAGGCCCGTCGTGAACATCCAGACAGCGGCAGCCGCGCACGCCGCCACGAGCCTCGCCAGGGCCATGGCGCGGCGGGGCGGCGCGAGAGCCTCAGAGGGCTAGCGCAGGGTCGGCGCCTCCCATCCCGCGGCGACAGGCGCCTCGCGCCCCCGACGAAATCCAAGGCCCGTTGGGGGCCGCCGTGGTCGCCCAGATCTTCCTCATTCGAGAGGAAGTGGCGACTCTCCTCCTCCTCCTCCTCCTCCTCCTCCTCCTCCTCCTCCTCCTCCTATGCGACTCTTGGCACAAAAGCCTTTAATAAAACTCCCCATGGGGCCACAAACCGTGGGAGGGGTGTGCCGAAATGAGCACGTGGAGAGCGGCAGCAGAAGCAGGAGGGAGGAAGGAGGAGGGGGAGGAAGAAGGAGTGAACGCGGGGCGTTGCGGATTCAAAACGACGACCCGACCACCACAGGATGTTTGGGAAAAACGAGGTCGACCAGTGGGGGGATCAACAATGACTTTCCTGCAGAAGGGAAAGCTTTACAGCAAAAAGAAAGCCAGAAAGTTTGGCGGGCGATGTGGGGGAGAGCGAGGACGGTCAGAATTCGTGATGACGGCAGACTCTCGAACAGTGAGAGTGCTCATTGTCGTATTGTTTTACTGGACTTAGTCCACCAAGCGTCGCTAAGCCTTGCCTGTTTCCCTGTTTCGAGCTCTCGTTTCAATGATGATCCGCGACGTCTTCGTGCCTGTGACAAGTTCTGTTAGCCCCTCCCCTGTTCTTCCACTCGGAGTCCCTCGGCATCGGCGGCGGGCCTCCGGAAGCACCCACGCCTCAACGCCGCGGGGGTCGAACAGGTCCTCGTGCAACGCCTCCCAGCCCCTTCAAGGGCTGGCCCAGCAGCGTCCGCGCGACACGCCCGGCACAGCACGCAGGGCACGGCATGGCACGTACAGCACGTGCAGCACGGCACGCTCGCCCATGCGCGCGCGACACCGCACGCATGCCACTGAGCACGTGGTGCGACTTTATGCAGGGCACGGCACGGCCCAGCACGCACGGCACGACTCGCGCGGCAAGGCGGTGCAACGCGTGGAACGTACAGCGTGGCACGCACAGAACAGGACGCGCAGTATGCCATGCGCGCCGCTCGCACAAAGCTGCACGCCCGGTACGGGACGGCACGCTCATCACAGCACCGCCCGTAGAGCACGCACGGCACGGCCCACAGAGCACAGAATAGCGCTACACGCACAGCACGGAATGCACGGCGCAGCACGCTCGCCACGCGGCGCCCACGGCGCGGCTCGCAACGCGAAAAACAAGGCTGGCGAACACGCACGGCTAGTAGCAGCACACGCTTTCTTTTTGTTGGGGGGGCCTCACGGCCCCGTACGCAGCGAGAGGGCGTCGAAAGGTCGGAGAAAAGAGCGCGCGCACGCGCGCGCGTAGCGGCACGCCCGCACACACACACATGCTCTTTGGCGCTGCGGCCTCGCCTTCGCAGCGTCGAGGCGTAGAAGGTCGAGGTCGAGCAGAGAACGCGCGGCCGAGCCACTCAAAAAGCCAGGGGCCGGGATCCAGCCCAGCACTCTTTCTCGGCGTCACGCCCACGCGCGCAGAGCGGCGGGGCGCAGGAGCAGGCCTGGCGAGCGCGAGAGAGACGCCCGCGCGGGCCAGCCCCGAGCACGCGGCGTGGAGACCCTGGATCCACCCAGAGGGGGCTGACAGCATCGCTCGCGGAGGGGCAGCCGCGAGGGGCGCAGCGGGGGAGAGGGGGGAGGCACGGGATGGGGAGACTGCAGAGGAGCAGCGCAGCGGTGCGCGAAAAGCGAGGGTGGAGGCGAAGAGAGCGGCCCGCAGAGGCGGCGCGCACAGAGGGCGAGAGAACAGCACACGCACACACACACACACACACACACACACACACACACACACACACACACACACACACACACACACACACACACACACACACACACACACACACACACACACACACACACACACACACACACACACACACACACACACACACACACACACGCACACACACACACACACACACACACACACACACACACACACACACACACACACACACACACACACACACACACACACACACACGCACACACACACACACATACGCGCGCGCATACATTTGCACACCATGATTACCTGGAACCCTCGTTCGCCAGCTCGGCAACTCGTTCGAGCACGTCGGTACCAGTTCCGCAGCACCATCGCCTGCGCACCCACGCTTGGGATGCTCGGAAATCAACCGCAAAGGTCGGCATGATACGTCCAATTCAAGCATGATATACAGCAGGTCGAAAAAAACGGTACAAGCGGACGGACCCGATGACCACGCAAGGTGAAGGCGTCGCACTGTCACAACACGCACAGCCTGGCGGCAGAGCAGTAGACCTGTCTAAATGTGTTAGGACATGGCGACAGAAATATCCAACATCACATCGCCACAAGGATCGACCACCTCATCAAAACAGCGGCGTGGTGGCCAGGGGCGTAGGCAAGCGCGGGGCCTACAGACCTAGCCGGAGGAAGGCGTGGAAGAGATGGCAAAGACACGCGGTCCGCATGCGGCATATTACAAGGCGAAGTAAGGCCAGGGTGTTTGTCCCAAGATCACCATGCGGATTGGTTAGCGGTGAAAACGCGCTCTACGGGCACGCGTATAAGCGAAAGCTTACTCGTCGCCAATGCGTTCCTTCATGATTTCTGCGAAGGGCCCCAGCAAAGCCTTCCGTAGCAGAAACCCGAGGGCCGATCAAAGAGGCTGGTGGCCACCTGGCGACAGCGCTGACTTCACACCACAGCTGCGAGTCCTCGGCCACGTGGAAACACGATGCCCAGCACTGGCAACCCTGAAGGGGCACTGGGACACACAAATAAATACAAACAAATAACAGGATTCCCTATCTTTCCCCATATTTTCTGGGTTTTTGTCTTCCCCCCCCCCCCCCCACTTCCCATATTTTCCCATATTTTCTGGGGAATCGACGATTAAAAGTGTTTGCGTGTTTCTTTCCCTCCTAAAACCAGCTCGGGCCCCAACTTAAAGCCTCTGGAGATACCACGGCACCGCTCTTCCAACGGGCAGCGCTGGCGAGCCCGGGCGCGGGGGTCGGCACTGGCGGGACGCGCCAGGCGCGAGGCGCTCCACGCGGGTGGAGGAGGAGGAGGAGGAGGAGGAGGAGGAGGAGGAGGAGGAGGGAGGAGAAAGGACGAGGAGGAGGAGGAGGAGGTGGAGGAGAGGAGGAGGAGGAGGAGGAGGAGGAGGAGGAGGAGGAGGAGGAGAAGAGGAGGGGGAGGAAGGAGGAGGAGGGAGGAGGAGCAGGAGGAGGAGGAGGAGGAGGAGGAGGAGGCGGAGGCGGGGGAGGGGGAGGTGGAGGAGGAGAAGGGGGAGGAGGAGAGGAGGAGGAGGAGGAGGAGGAGGAGGAGGAGGAGGAGGAGGAGGAGGAGGAGGAGAGGAGGAGTGGAGGAGGAGGAGGGGAGTAGGAGGAGGAGGGGGAGGAGGAGGAGGAGGAGGAGGAGGAGGAGGAGGAGGAGGAGGGGGAGGAGGAGGAGGAGGAGGACGAGGAGGAGGAGGAGGAGGTGGAGGAGGAGGAGGAGGAGGAGGAGAAGGGCGGTGCCGCGCGTGACACGGCACCACGCGCAGAGCACTGCACGGATGGCGCGGTCTCTGCCGGCGCGGCACGGGCATCGCCGCCCAGGTGTGTGTGTGTGTGTGCAGAGGCGGCAGCACACCTTCGTGAAGCCGCGGCGGAGCTCGCGGGCCCACAGACGCCTACAGCCAGCGGGCCTCAAAGATTGGGAGATAGCCCTGGGACAGGGTGGCAAAGAGTCTCGGTCGCAAGATCCAAGGAAGTGAACGAACGCAAATGGAGACTTGCGAATGCCAAGGTTGGGATCAGGAAGTGTGGGGGTGCGAAGGTCACAATATTGGGCACAAACCCTCTGTCTGACCTGTGCAGCCACTTCAAGATGTGGAGTACGCAAATCGGGTTCGCACGCAAGCGAATAAAGTCTACAAATGCTTGAAATGAAGCTCGCCACCCCAGAACGTCAAAACGACGTGAGGCTAGACGGTTACTTCGTGAGCACGACGTACTCGCAAGCGCATGCGAAGTGCTTGCGAGAGTTGTGCAGCCAAGGGTGCATGAGAAGGAGGCGGCGGCGGAGCAGAATGAAAGAACGGATGAGAGAGGGAGAGGGCGGCGAAGGGGCCCTGGAATCGGTAAGTCGGATCGGCAATCGAAACAAATCGGATCGGAAGAAATCGGCAGCCGAGTCTGGAAAAGTAAAATCGGCAGAAATCGGCAGCCAAGTAGGCCTCCGATAGGGACTCGGAGCCCAAATCGGAATCCGAAGTCTTATCGAATCGGAATCGGAAGCCATCGAAATCGAATCGTATCGAATCGGAGGAATCGAAATGAGCCCTGGAGAGGGCGGCGCGGGGGACCCTGGCCCATCCTCCAAAGGGTACTGCTCGTCGATGGGCATCGTATCCACGTAGGCGCCTCGCGCCACGGCCTTCCGGAAGGGCACAACTACCGAGTAAGACGACACACACTAACGTTAGGTCGGGCATGTCCCCCCACAAGAGGATTTTGGACGAAAAATTTAAAAATTGGCACGGAAATCCAATCATACTCACAAACACTCAGAAAAAATCGTCCCCATAATATGTTTTGGCTATTTTTGAACAGTCCCCCTGTAGAGGGACACGCCCGACTTAACACTGACGGGAGGGAAGGGCATCTGGCATAGTCGACGCCACCGCGCCGATCCGTAAACGTCTTCTGCGTGCAGCACCCACGCGCGAAGATCGATTACCGTTCTCCGTGCGCACCATAAACAGCACTGAGGGCATCGCAAGCAAGACACCAATGTGAAGATGAAGCTCTGAGCGAGAGAGCGAGCGAGCGCCGATGTCGCTCCGTGCGCGCGCCCGGAGCGCCTCCTAAAGAGGCCGGCGGCGGGGCCGTAGCCCCGCAGACTGCATCAACCCATCGTTTTCGAGGCCCGTGTGGACGCCGCGCTGCGCGTTGGCAAACTGGTGGGCCCCACGAATACGCACCGTAATTCCATCGATCCGGGCTGCACTTGGAGATCCTCTGGGCCCGTTCCATGTTCCTGCGCTTCTGATTGTCAACTCACCGCTCAAATTCCAAAGTTACGAACGCTTAGAAACACACACACACTTTCTTTTTTCATCGGCGCCTAGGCAGAGTGACTGCGCTGGCGGAAAGACAAAGGTTGGGCGAACAATTGCGACTTAAGCCGCAATGCACGGGGGAAGGAGGGTGAACGCCCTGCGACAGCGGGGAGGAGGAGGAGGAAGCCAGGCCCGCTCACAGCGGGGCCAGACGGCGGCGGGGAGGCGGCGCCAGGAGGGGGGCCCAGCAGCGGCGAGGCGGCAGCTGGGGGGTAGGCCAGCAAGGCGGCCACCAGAGGTGGGCGCCCTGGGGGGAGCAGCGCCCAGCGCAGGCTGGTGACGAAGGTGAATGCGGAAACGCGAGCCGAGGGTGCCGAAGTCACAGGTGACCTGCGAGGCAACCCGGGAGCGGCCAGTGCGGGACCACCTCAAGGGGAGGGGTCGGCAGAACATAAATATATATATATATATATACAAGACTGCATTGGCGCTGCGCGCCATGCACCTTGGTCCTTTGAGTTCTGCACGCAAGCGGAATGCGTGCGTGCGTACATGCGCGCATGCATGTATACACGCGCACGTGCATGCACGTTCCGTATAAATGCCCAGGTGTATACAATATAGTTACATTGTCGTATGTGTGTATACAGCGTACATATGTTCATGTAGATTTATATGTGTGTAAGGCTATGAACATGCATATACAACTCGTACGGGGCATCGTCGGGCATCTTCGCTGCATGCCACGAGACCCTCAACGACTGGGTCACAATGTGAAATGTCATGGGAGCAAAATCAATGAATGTTGGCATTCGGAAACATCGTGGGGGTGTTTTCGGTGCCCTCGTGGCCGTTTTGGCGCCTTCATGGGCCGTCCTGGGGCCTTCTTGGGCCGTCTTGGGGAGCTTGGGCCCGCTGGAGCCCCCTTTGGACCCATCTTGGGCACTTCCGGGAACCTCCCATGACCCTTTTGGGTCTGTGCTGGGAGCCCTTGGGGGGCCTCTTGGTTCCTTTCTGGGCTGTCTTGGAGCTCTCGTAGGCGATCGTGAGGCCCGGCTCGGCCGTCCTGAAGCTTTCGAGGGGGCCTTTTGGAGCGTCTTGAGGCGGTCTCGGGGGCTTTGAAGCCGTCTTGAAAGCAGATGAAATCCGAAAGGCGAATATGCTAAAATTGTGAGTTTTACGAAGCGAATGGAACGATTTCTGTGTTTTGAAGGCCCCTTGGAAAGCTTTTTGGGATGCCTTGGGGGTCTTTATGTTGGCATTCGGAAACATCGCGGGGGTGTTTTCGGGGCCCTCGTGGGCCGTTTTGGCGCCTTCATGGGCCGTCCTGGGGCCTTCTTGGGCCGTCTTGGGGAGCTTGGGCCCGCTGGAGCCCCCTTTGGACCCATCTTGGGCACTTCCGGGAACCTCCCATGGCCCTTTTGGGTCTGTGCTGGGAGCCCTTGGGGGGCCTCTTGGTTCCATTCTGGGCTGTCTTGGAGCTCTCGTAGGCGATCGTGAGGCCCGGCTCGGCCGTCCTGAAGCTTTCGAGGGGGCCTTTTGGGGCGTCTGGAGGCGATCTCGGGGGCTTTGAAACCGTCTTGAAAGCTGATGAAATCCGAAAGGCGAATATGCTAAAATTCTGAGTTTTACGAAGGGAATGGGACGATTTCTGCGTTTTGAAAGCCCCTTGGAAAGCTTTTTGGGGCGCCTTGGGGGTCTTTTGGGCCGTCCTGACGCAATTGGAGTCCCTCTTGGAGCGCTCTTGTGCTGTATGGGGCCTCCCTTGAGCCTTTCTGATGACCCCTCGGATCGCTCTGGGTCTGCTGGCAAGGCGATTGTGGAGACCCGGAAGGCCGGGTGACCTTTTCCATGGACGTCCAAGGGAGCCCGAGAACCCCAAATCCCGGGGGTCCAGTTTTTTTTTTGGGGGGGGGGGGGAGGATGGGTTTCCCCCCCCCCCGGGCTTGCAAAAATACAGGAAGAGGAATATACACACACCGTACGGGTCTGCACACTACCCTCACACGCCACCGCGCCCTTACTGCTCGAAGGACGCGCCAGTTCCGTGGCCAGCAGGGCAGCTCGAGCCCTCGCCAGTTCCAGGAGAGGACTCAGCATCATCAGACATGTCCCCACTCTCTCTTTTTCTCTCTCTCTCTCTCTCTCTCTCTCTTTCTCCTCCTCCGCCTCCTCCTCCTCCTCCTCCTCCTCCTCCTCCTCCTCCTCCTCCTCCTCCTCGTGCTCCTCCATGAATCCGTCCCTCACTCCCGCCATCTCTCCCTCCCTCCATGCCTCTGCCCCACCTCCCTCTCCCTCTTTCTCTAACTCACCCTCCTGTCTCTCTTCCGCTGGCGCTGCGCTTCATCCACTGCCACGTACGGCCGTTCGCGACTGCTTCCTGCCCACGCGCTGGCCGGCGCATGGCTTGTGAGTGGGTAGGGGGGGCCCGCGGGTCGCGCCAGTGAGCCAGGCGCGCGAGAAGAGGCAGCGCTCGACCGCCTCGCTGCGGCGACGTGAGTGAGGTCGGCGGGGCGCGCGAGTGAGACCCATACCTTTCTTTGTTGAGAAGAAAGAGGGGCAAGCAGGAGGGGACGATCGCAACAGCTCTCGAGTCACCAGTGCACTCCAGCGGCATGATTTACAACATCCCAAAAATAAAAAAGCACTGGCGAGAAGAACAGAAGTGGCCGGCCGGGTAAACGTCACAACATTCAGGGGGAAGGGGCCAGGGCCCCTCAGCGCCGCCAGGCTACGCCCCTGGAGGCGGGGACACATGCCGCGCAGCCCGCCGGTGACTTCAACTGTCCCCACCTGGAGGGGCAGGTCGGACAGCGGGGCCAAGGCTCTCCCAGTGGGGAGTGGGACTCAGCGTCGTTCGGAAGAAACGCGTAGCAAAAGGAAGGCGTTTGTCCTTAGTTCGTTAGCCACAGCAAGAAGCTATCAAAAGGGATACACTTTCGTTCGTTCGTTCGTTGGGAAGGCGTCGAAGTCATATACTTAGTTTTCGCCCGCCCCTTTCAAGTGTGGGGAAAGAGGAAGCCATTCGAATACGGTGAGGCCTTTGGATGAGGAACCGTTGGGTAAGGAATCCAGGATCTGGAAGTTGGTGAACTCCAACCGTAGATTGGCATGGAAATCACCGCCACCCTCATTAGATAATGAATTCCTCCAGGGTTTGAAATGAGAAGGCGCCCAAATAATGCTGGAATCTGGGATTCCAGAAAAACCGACTTGCAACAAACGATAGGTTTAGGTCGGGCTTGTCCCCCTACAGGAGGATTTGGGACGAAAATGGAATAAGAATAATAATCCAAAAAAACAAAAATGATTTAAAACCCAAAAAATCGTCCCCTGACTACTTTGTTGTTGACTATTTTGGGATATCCCTCCTGTGGAGGGACACGTCCGACGTAACGACAGTTATGTCAGACGATGCGATGCTACGGGAGAGAGAGCGGCCGACCGCACGGCGCCTCGGCACGCCGCCTGCAGCGTCTGGACCCAGCGGCGCGCCCGCAGCGGGCTCGCGCCACCGCCGGGTGGCTGCCAGCATGCCGCGCGGGGCCGGGCAGCAGGGCGACCAGCAGCCCTGGGATAGACGAGCGCGGTCCACTACTCGCAAAGTGCACACTCGCAGGTGGCCTGGATCCACCGCGGGGGATCTGCGGCAAACTGCATCGAGGCAGACGTACGAGTTCTTGTTCGGACGCTTGCGAGTAGGCACTCCGCGAGTAGTGGAAGGCGCTCGGTGACTGGAGCTTGCTTGCTGAATGCTGTAATGGGGGAACGAACAGTGACAGAAACATAAAAACACTCGGAGGCCCGCGCGGATTTCTCGGATCGGCGCTGGAGGCCCCTGGCGGCGCCTCCGGCGCCGCCCCCGGCGAGCTCCGCGCGCCAGGCAGGGGGGCCCAGCGCGGATCCGAGAAATCCGCGCGGACCTCCGGATTTTGATGTTTGTGTCATTGTTTGTTTCCCGATGTAACGAGGCGAAGAAAGAGGCGAGAGGGACATGGCGCAGACGACCGACGGTCGTCTGACCACACGGCGTGGCTCGTCCTGGCATGCGTCTCTCTTGGGGCTGCCTCCCGCGCGGGCGACTCCCTTGATGGGTCTGTCTTCCACCACCACCACCACCACCATCAGTTGTACGGGGAAAGGAAGAGGAGAAGGAGGAGGACGAAGAGGAGGAGGAGGAGGAGGAGGAGAAGGAGGAGGAGGATCCCCCCCCCCCTCCAACTGTGGTGGTGGTGGTGGTGGAAAACAGGCCCATCACCCCTGGCTCCAAGCCCTGGAGTGCTTCTCCGCAGCAGCCTGCTTGCGCCCACGACCGCTGCGAGCACACGTGGCCACGAACCCGCCCAGCAGCCTCCACGCCCGGTGCGCGAGACTCCACGGCGGAGGAAGGGCGAGGCGAGGGCAGGGGCGAGGAGAGGGGAGGGGCGAGGAGCGGAGGGGCAGCGAAGGTGGGCGGGGGCGGGGCGAGGACGCGGAGGAGAAGGATGAGGAGGAAGGCGAGGAGGAGGACGCAGAGAGGAGGAGGAGGTGGAGGAGGAGGAGGAGGAGGAGGAGGAGAAGAAGGAGGAGGAGGACGACGAGGACGAGGACGAGGACGGGGAGGAAGATCGACCACTCGGAACCGTCACCGGAAAATATGGCCGGAGGCGCTTCGCAGCACCTGCTCGTCGCCAGCCACGTGCGAACGGGAAGGAGCACTCGACGCCAGCGGCGTCCGGAGGAGAGAGACACAAGCGAGGCGAGGGGAGGCGCCCGCGGTGCGTGTCTCGAAGTGGGGGGCGGCCCCTGCGAGCTCGGAGGGCCCGCGGCGTGCGGACCGGGGGGCCCGGGTCGGAGGGGCAGGGAAGTCGTTTAGGGGATAGGATAGGGTAAGGAACAGGCTGTATGGTCCAATGTGCTTCCCTGTTCTGGGGGGCGACGGGCGCGGAACAGGGAGGGGGAGGAGGAGGAGGAGGAGAAGGAGGAGGAGGAGGAGGAGGAGGAGGAGGAGGAGGAGGAGAAGGAGGAGGAGGAGGAGGAGGAGGAGGAGGAGGAGGAGGAGGAGGAGGAGGAGGGGGAGGAGGAGGGGGAGGAGGACGGCCACGGCTGCCCAGTACCATAGCAGGTGCGCGCCCTCAGGGGGCCAGTCTCGAGTGAAATACCCATCCCCAAACACCACCTGTACATCTCTTTTACCCATCACTCTTTACATTCCGTTTCGACTACTCCTGTCTGTTCCCTCCCTCAGATGACGCCGTCATTCACCACACAGGTAACGCCAGCAACAGCACGACTTCAACACCAGCCAACCCATGTTGGCATCGCCGAGAACGCGAACGACGGTCAGCAGAATGCAAACTCCCTAACCAGGACACGCAGCACAGCTCGACTCAGCGCGCCGGCTTCTCGCTGCGCATCACAGCGCACGATAACCACCACGACTTCCACCTCAAGTTCCCGCAATGGCGGCATCGTGGGGAACAAACGCAAGTGGATCGGGAACTGCGCCACCGCCATGGAGATCGACATCGAGCCGCACTCTAAGCAGAGGACCTGCGTCGCGGCCTACCACCCCGGCGATTGGGGCAGGCCTGGAGCGCAGGAGGAGCCAAAAATGGACGGAGCATGGGGGCCAACAACCACCTGGACCGAGACACCTACTGGAGCAAGGGCCACGGCGGCAAGGGCAAAAACAACAAGCCCAATGACGACGACCACGAGCACGACAACCTCAAACGGAAGGGCAAGAGCAAGAACAAAAAATGCCAGGGGAAGGCCAAAGCACAACCCAAACAAGACAACGCGCCCAAAAAGAAGGACGCCACCCAGGACTACAACGACTACATCGCCAGCACGATCAACAACGTCATGCCGATGAGGAAGGTCCATGCAGTCCCAAGGCCCGACTGGAAGCTAACGCCTAAAGACCTCAAGAACAGAGACGACTGGAATAAGATCAAGCTCATTGAGCAGAGGCGATCAGCAGCAGCCATCACGAAAAACTGTATTGCAGGACAAGCTACCATAGATGCATTCTCCCAGATCGCCTTCACCGAAGGTATGATCCTCAACAGCGTGCCCCCCGCCTAACAAGCCAGGGAGATGGACAACACCAAGCAGACCATGGAAGACTACTACGACCACCCTAAGGCCCACCAGAGCCAGATCGAGAAATACATTATCGAGCTGAGAAACAAGATGGGGGAGCTCATCACCTTGCAGAGACGACATCAGCACTGTTAGGGACGACACCTACAGCGACACAGGCGCCGCTGATGACGAAGCCGAAAAACCAGAAAAAGGGGCACACCACAGAGAAGGGCGCCCACACCAGCTCCCGGCAAACAAAGAAGGGCGGGGGAGACGGCGGAGGAGCAAGACGCCAGCATGTTACTCAAGACCCTGAGGGAGGACAACCAACGAATGGCCCACGACACATGAAGAAGAACAAATGCGATGCCAACGCCAAGATCCACGCCCTCAACAACACCTGCGAGCAGCAGAAGAAAGCGCACACGAAGGAGCACGGCGAACGACAGCACACGGAAGCTGCACCTGCACGTCACTGCCAGAACGAGCTGAAGAACGAGATCGACGCCGCGAGGAACACAAATGACAAGCTGGCAGCCCATCATGAGCCCATACAAACTAGGAACATCGCACCCCTCAACAGGACGGAGGATTAGCTCGAGTCCATCAAGGTTGCGACAAAGGAACAGCTGGACATCGGGACCAGGCAACGATCCATCAACTACAGAGCGAGCTCAGGAACGCGCAGAAGAACTTTATCAATGGCAACAACGACTGCGATACTATACAACAGCAGCTACGAGAAGCCGAAAGGTTGGCCAGCGAGAGACAGAAGAACTTCAACGTGACCACGGAGGCTGAACAGCACATCGCCAACATAGAAACACAAGCAGTCGAGGCACGAGTCGGGGGGGGCGACGACAACATCATCCTTTACCACAAGTGGGGGGACGCAGAAAAAAAGGAACCAACGAGCCCACACCGGGATTCGTGCCCAAGAAATTCACATGGAAGCGACGACCCGCACCGCCCGTGAGGAATTCCAACAAAGAGTCATAGGCACCGAGCGCATCATCAGGGGAAGAGATGCCGAGCAGGCCCAACATCAAGAGCTATACCTCAAACGCATACGGACCAACATGTAAGTACACGAGCAGCGAGCACGTCACGTCACGACGTACTGACAACTGGAAGACAACTGCAGCTTGTCCTCCAGCGCGCGGAAATGGGCACGGCAGAGCAGCACGGCGCATACCAACAGGAGAAGCAGATCTGCAAACAGTTTTTTGATTCGCGGGTCGAGAGCGCACCTCTTCCGGTCGAAGCTAAGCGGGCTGCGCGAAGCCTGAATTAACAAAGAGGGCAGATCTGCAAACAGAAGGAAGCGGAACGGAGGAAGCTCCAGGCGATCCACGAGGAACGCAGCGAGGACGCAACGGAGGAGTACCACTACGCCCAACATACAGCTGGACTCGCTCACTGCAGCGCCTAATTAACGTGGAGATGGTTGACGCGATCGGAAAGGCCCTGTCCACGCAGATACCCACCGACGACGAGATTTTTACATTCCTCCCACATGTCGAACCTCTGCCCTCGCCATGTGACGTGGATGCAACGCAGACGACCCAATCACCAAGCGACCAGGCCACCAGGGACTTCGACATGCACGGGGCGACGGCATCACAACCAGCTGCAGAAGAGCAACATCAATACTACCCACCCACTCCGACCAGAGCTCCGCGAGCGGCAGGTACACCAGTGGCGGAGCAACCAGGCAGCAGCGAGCACGACTGCCCCACACCGACTGCAGGAACACAAGGATCAGTACTGCCAGGACAGCCCACCAACGAGGTCATCCCAACCGAGACAGACACGACGCCACCAAGAGCCAAAAGAGACGACGGGATGACCACAAAGGAGATGTCGACGAAAGCCACCACACCGCATAGAAGCTTCATCGGCACGTCTGGGAGAGGACCCTCACTTCCTGGAGCTCGCGGGCGCCCGGCGCCCGCGGCGAGGAGCTCGAGTGCAAAGGGAACGCGAAGGGAAACAGTCGACACCAGCGAGCCCTACAACACTGCGCCTTACGTACCCAACGAAGAAGCACCAACCGACATCGCTACCAGTGACGACGCAGCCCAGACAGAAGGGGCTGCAATGGTAGTAATATGTTGACGGTTGCACAGCGGCGCGGACCCAGCCAGGGTCCGCGCTGCCCATGGTGAGTCTGGAGCACCACACTGCATATACAATCCCGACCGGCACGACCCACCGCAACGGGATCATTGCGACTCGCAACCAACGACGAGGAGCAGAATTCAACTGGCAAGACCACAGGGTCCGCAGCCAGGACAACGACCAGCCATGGCACCGTCCAAACGGGACGCAAGGCCAGGCAACGTCAACATTCAGGGCAGCGGACCGCTGGACGACGTAACGAGGACGCAACCACCGCATCCACTACCAGCACCGCTCGTGATGGAGCCATCAGGCACCAACACACCAGCATAGGTACAGAGGGGAAGTCAACAGCGCCCTACCGTACGAGAGCGAGTGAAG